GATTGTGAATGGGGAAAACTAATTTATGCAACCAACAGATGGCCTGAGGTTACACAAGTGTGTTGCCTCTCTGAAACACTGCCTGATGGGGGTTAGACAGTCTTATGGGAAGTAATTCTAGGCACACACACAGAGGAATGGGTCCAACACTAATTCACTGGCAGAGATCCAGCAGAAAGAGCTCAGAAACTATCCAGCAGACGGATTCCACCAGCTGTGCCAGGCTTCTCAGGGTATAATTATATGGTGGCTTTAAAGGAACACACCAATACAGGGATCTGCTGCTTGCGGCTGGTAGATTTTGAACATTGCCAGAACTGATGCCATTCTTGTCAATGGAACCAGTCACGTCTGAGATATTCATCAGTTCTGTCACGCACCCCCCCCCCCCCCCCCAAATCAAAAACCTCTCTCCCTAGTAACTGATTTTAAAAGAAAAAAAGGTTTTAATTTTTGCTTTTGGAAAGACATCCCCTAAATATCTGCATAAAATCTACCACTGAAGTCTAGGATCACCTAAGATCTCCCAAGTAAATATATAAGACCACTGTGCAGCAATAAATGATGCAGTGATTCAGTCACAGACCCCCCCCCCCAAATCAAAAACCTCTCTCCCTAGTAACTGATTTTAAAAGAAAAAAAGGTTTTAATTTTTGCTTTTGGAAAGACATCCCCTAAATATCTGCATAAAATCTACCACTGAAGTCTAGGATCACCTAAGATCTCCCAAGTAAATATATAAGACCACTGTGCAGCAATAAATGATGCAGTGATTCAGTCACAGATGCTTCATGCTCCGCTGTTAGCCAGCCAAACCCCCAGTGAGGTGCAAGGGAAGCACACTAAAGATCTCATGACTCATTTTGCAAGTCTCAGTATCTTGGTCAAATTCCAGTATGGTTAATTATTTCATGCCTTTCTAAATCTTCTACTGCAGATTCAAAACCAAATTAGACATCATGGACAAGACAGTCAGATGGCAAACAATCTACAATCAGAGAGACAGGTTTCATAAGGAGTTCAGTTCCTACTTAAGCGTCTAAGTAAGAGCTGGATTTTCAAAGCTACTAATCGTTCAGCAATGATAGTTATGGACAACGTGTTGATGTCTTCTGAAAATGTGGACCTATTTCTGTAATGACAACATGCACATTTACATTACGTAGAATAACAATACCAAAGAAGAGATATAAACCTTCATGCTTCAGGACATAAACCAACTATTAGTTGATAGAGTTAGAACATGTTAAAATACAATATTTAGATAAGTGAGGTGCATTCAAGTTGTCAGGGATTGATGAAATTCACATTAGGTAATTTAAGAATTAGCTAAAGCTATCTCAGAACCATCAGCAATTATCTTTGAAACCTCAAGGAGGGAGGGGAGGCCCCAGAGGACTGGAAAAGGGCAAACACAGTACCTAGCTTTAAAAAGAGGAACAAAGAGGACCTGGAAAGATTATTGGAATTAATTATTAAATAATTAGTTTGCAAGCATGGAGGTGGTAGGAGGGGTATAAGTAACAGCCAACATGGATTTGTCATGAACAAATCATGCCAAAGCAATCTAATTTCCTTCTCTGAAAGGGTTACTTGGGATAGGAGAAAACAATAGATTGAAATTTTGTAAGGCTTTTTGATAGCGTTCTCCATAATATTTTAATGAGCAAATTAGAGAAATGCAGGGTCTAGATGAAATTACAATGACCTGGATGCACAATTGGTTTAAAGAGTAGTTACCAGTGCTTCACCATCAAAACTGAGATGTATTTAATGGGTAGAGTCCTGTGCAGAAAAAAAAGTAGCCACAATTAGCCACATTGACAGGACTCGACAATTAGTGTAATCTACTCGCCCATGGTGAGAAGATTACAAGCCGGCACAGCCGTGCAGCGCGATCAGCACATGCACACCATGCCAAACCGCACTTCTGGTGAGCAGGGCTCACAAGCGCTTGGCAAGCCCTGCGCATTGACATCCCTGGATGCAGATACCCGTGGATATAAAGCGGGTATCCGTAAATTCACAGGGCTCTACATATAAAATTAGTATCCTTACCCACATCCATATCCGCAAAAATGAGCTGTGGATATCCATGGATTTGCTGGGCTCTACTACTGGGATTCTGCAGTGCTCTGTCCTAGGATTGGTACTATTCAATATTTTCATTAGTAACTTGGATAATGGAGTGAAGAGTATCATATATATAGTAGTCCAATGTCTGTGAGTCTGTAATTCTGACGTACACGGACCCGCCCCCTGGCCTTGTACGTCACCGCCCCGCCCCATCCCCTTCTCATCCCTCCCTAGCCGGGCAGCTGCGGGGAAGCCAGTGGCGCAAGCGACCGTGGTGCAGCACTTAACCGAGCCGCCATGGAGGAAGAGTGGTGACGTACACAGCCAGGGGGCCGCGCCCCCCTGGACAGTTTAGGTCCCGCGCTCCCCATGCAGCACCACCGTGCTGCATGGGGAGCGTGGACACCAAACATCTGCTCGCACCACTTGCTCCCACGTGGCAGCCCGGCTGAGCGGCGCAGAGATCAGCCGAGCACCACGGCGAGAGGCAACACGCCACCCAGAGGGAACAGCCTGGGGGCGGGGCCTGGACAAGCATGCATCTCTGACATCAGAAAAGGGCGCCGGATTCAAAAGGAGGAAAGCAGAGCGGTTGGGAGGAGACAGATTGGAGAACAGAGGAGGCATCTGACAGGCGGAGGACAGTGAGAGAGAAAGAGAGAGAGAGAGAGACACAGCAGGAGGAGGAGAAGAGAAACACAGGGTGAGAGGAGGAGAAGAGAGAGAGAAAAGGAGAGAGAGGCAGGAGGCGGACGAGAGCTGAGAGAGAGAGAAGGCAAGGCAGTAGGAGGAGGGAGAAAGAGGCCATTTGTGCCACTTGCTCCCACGCGGTGGCCCGGCTGAGCGGCACAGAAGTCGGCCGAGCACCACAGCGGGAGGCGATGGGGAGCGGGGCGGTGACGTACATGCCCAGGGGGCGGGGCCTGAACAGGCATGCATCCCCGACAGAGACAGGAGAGCGGAGAGAGAGTGAGAGGCAGGAAGGGGGGGAAGAGAAAGAGAGACACGGAGCAGTATGTATAGCATTATGAGCTTTCATACGCTTACATATTTTTGTTGTCTCTAAGATGCCACAGGACCATTCGTGGTTTTTTTAATTTTGTTTTTAAGTTACAGACTTAACATGGCTACTCCTCTTGGAAGTTTTTAAGTACAAGTGTTTGTCCGACCTGTCAGGGATAGTCTAGATTTACTTGGTCCAGCCTCTGAGAAAGTGGGGTGCACTAGATCACCTCTGGACATCCCTTTTAGCCCTATATTTCTGGTGTGTTTTATTCCGCAACTGACCACTACAGAGTGTCTTGTGCCTTGCTCTGGGGCATCTAGTGCTAGTTATTGTCAGAAATAGGATACTCAAGGAGCTAATGGTCTGAGCCACTCTGGTAATATTTGGTGAGTGGAGCCCGCATTTGGGGAGGACAGCCCCACTTCTCTTCACCATCCGTCCACTCCCCCATAGCCGGAGCCCCAAGACTTCCTGCCCCACCTCACACCGAGGAGCCCCAAGCAACAGTCCCTCAGCTGCATCAGCCCTGGGCTGGCCAGAGGCTCGAACGCCCCCAAAGACAGAGCTCAAAAAAACCCTGCAGCTGAAGCCCCAAGATACCCTCTCCATGGCTGACCCCAGCCTGGCTGCCCCCTACCCCGGCCCCTCCAAACTCCTTCCCCACACCCAGAGGAGCCTTGGGACAGCCAAA